TGTGTTTCCCAGCACATAAAAATGTTTACATGCATCTTCTTAAGCAGGCGGGGGTGGGCTGGAACAGTGGTCACCAACCGGTGGGCCAGGGACCACTGGTGGTCCACGAGAAAATGTTGGTGGTCCGCAGAGAAATGTCCCCCCCAAAGCAATTAATCCAGGCTGTGTGGGAACACAAGGTTGCGCCGCCCACATGGCCTGTGGGAACACAAGGCTTGTGTCGCATTGTGAACAACACGAGGGAGTGAGGGGAGGGGGGAAAGGGCGGAGGGGGGGAACTCGCCCCACTCGCCCCCTGTGCCTGGACTGGCCACCAGGCTGCTTCTGTCCGCTTCTTTCTTCTTCTGCTTTTGGCTGCACGCAAGGAAAGCAGCCAAAGTCTTTCTTTCTCTCCCTCAAACTCTGCCAGAAATGAGTCTTTGGGACCCTAAAAGGCCTCCTGCTGCAAGAGGCTGCGCCAAGTCTCACAAAGACTCATTTCTGGCAGAGTTTGAGGGAGAGAAAGACTTCTGCGGTTTCTGCTGCTTTCCTTGCATGAAGCCAAAAGTCTCTCTCTCTCTCTCTCTCCCTCCCTGAGAACGGAGCTGGAGACAGTATCCTGCAATCCCAAACAAAGAACGATCGATTGGTAGGAAAACGGGGTGGGGGATTTTCCTGCAGACTTTTTTGGGGATTTTCCCAGGGTCCACAGGATTTAAAATTATGAGTTTGGTGGTCCTTGAGGTCCAAGAGGTTGGTGACCCCTGTTCTAAGGTCTACTTAAGCACATGGGGTGGGCTAGAAGACCTCCGAGGTCCCTTCCAACTCTTGTTCTGTTTTTCAGGCCTCATCAATGACCATAAAAACGCCCATGGGAATGCGCCGGTTCCTCCCCCGCCTCCTTCGCGTTCCAGGTGGAGGAACCCTAAACTTCCTGCCTTCGACAGCCAAGCGACCTTCAGCGCTAGATACGGCCAGCAACCCTCCCGAGATTTCCCGCCCGGCCAGGCCAACGCGACTACCTGGAGGAAGAAATACTCTCTAGTCAACGCTCCGCCTAGGCCGACCCTGTCTTCGGCCACCAGCATTTCTCCGGGGACTTCCTGGGCGGCCCAGAGCTGTGCCGGTAAGGAGGCTCCCGAGCCACCGCCGATACTTTTGGAAGCAAGGCCCCACTCCAGCGCAAAGGCCAACCTTGGGCTGCCAGCTGACTCCGTGGCGAGTGACGCCGCCGGCTCAGGGTTTCCGACGGACTTTCCAGGGTCAAGAAAGTCCCCGTCGTCTTCCAGCCGAAGCCCGTCCGCGGCTTCTTGTCCTCTGTCCGCGGACTCGGGACACAACCAAGAGGTGTTCCACCTACCCCTTTGCAAAAGCCTGGCTATGGGTGGAAGTAACCGGCCGGAGTCCGGTCCGAAAAAGCCTGTCGGGGGGAGCGTGCTGACCCCCAGCTTAGGCCGGACTATCAGCGAGGGTGCCATTACGTTGAAATCTGAGCCTCGCCGGTGTCTCGCCTCGCCTGAGCAGGGGGCGAGGTCTCTCCCCCTCTGGAAGAAACCAGCATCCCAGGCTGCACCCCTGTGTGGCTCAAACCGCCAGCCCTCTCCTGCTGGGTCAGTCGAGCTCAGCTCCCCCAGGAACGTGGCCTTGTCTGGGGGCTGCAACCCTTCGGGCGAGGAGGCATCGGCCTCTTCCAGTTCTGGGACGAGTCTTCCCGCAAACAAGTCCGCCCTTTTATTGGTCCAGAAGCCGTCTTCCTTGCCGGTTACCGGCAGGTCTTCCCGCTTCAGGGGAGTCAACTACACCTGGGTGGCAAATCCCGGCAAATCCCCGCGAAGCGTGAAGCGGTGGGCCGTTTCCAGGGCCCCCGAAAGCACCCCCCGGTTCTCTGCCTGCGTGGCGACGGCCTCCCCCAAACTGCAGTCCAGGGGAGGGCCTCTCGAACTGGGGGCCAAGCCAAAGAAACCCGCCCCGCATGCGAAGCTGGCGGCTTCCTCCAGCCAGTACAGGTGGAAAGCGGCGAGTGCGAAGTCTGCCCCTTCCCCCTTGGCCTCGGTCTTCACTTGGAAGCGGAAGGAAGGGGTTGGGCCCGGTGAGGCCTCCTGTGTGGGTGCCAGCACCTCCGTCCAAGCACTGAGGCGGGTCCCTCTCGGACAGGGCAGCCTTGCCCAGGGCAGCCCGAGAGGCGTCTTGGGAACTACCGGCTTTTTAAATTACAGACTGAGAAACTGGCCGAAAATCACGAAGAGGAAAGGAAGCGCCAGGTAAGTTCCTGATGCTGCTAGGAGGATCTTTGTCCCCCCCCCCTTTTTTTTCCTTTTAACTTTGGTTACTCATCCTGGTTATGAAAGGGAGTGGAGAGGACTGGAATGGAATGGAATAGAATAGAGGACTGAAGAATAGAGAAAAATGAAGAGGAAATATGGAATAGAATGCAGAATAGAATAGAATATAGAGTAGAGGAATGAAGAAGAGAATAGAAGGACGGGACAGGATAGAGTAGGATAATGAAGAGAGTAGAGAGGATAGGATGGAATGGAATGGAATGGAATAGAGGAAAGAAGAGAAGAGAAAAAAATGAAGATAATATAGATATAAAGATACAGAGATAAGAGGAATAGAATAGAAGGAAGAATAGAATAGAATAGAATAGGGAATAGAATAGAAAATAGAATGAAAAAAAATAGAGAATAGAAAAGAATAGAATAGAAAGAAGAATAGAATATAGAATAGAATAGAAGGAAGAATATAGAATAGAATAGAAGGAAGAATAGAATGTAGAATAGAATAGAAGGAAGAATATAGAATAGAATAGAAGGAAGAATATAGAATAGAATAGAAGGAAGAATATAGAATAGAATAGAAGGAAGAATAGAATATAGAATAGAATAGAAGGAAGAATAGAATATAGAATAGAATAGAAGGAAGAATAGAATATAGAATAGAATAGAAGGAAGAAGAGAATATAGAATAGAATAGAGGAATGAAGAAGAGGGGACTGGATAGGATTGAACTTTGCAAAAGTTATGGATTCTGCAGGCATATCCAATTTAGCAAGATGAAGGGGAAGGCTGGGTTTCTGGTCCAGAACACCTGGAGGACTTTCAGGTGAGGGGAACATGTTGGAATGCTGCCTTGTGGCCGGAGCCACGTTTAGAGAACAAGTGTGCTTGGAGAACAAGTGCGCTTGGAGAATAAGTGTGCTTGGAGAACAAGTGCGCTTGGAGAACAAGTGTGCTGGAGAAGATCCTACCCAGGTGGTTTTATGCGGTGCTTGCACTTCGCTCCCAGAGAGCATTGGGGCTTTCATGAGGGGACCAATGGCCATTTGCTTCTGTGGTTTGCGTGATATGCACAAGGCCTTTCTGCGTGGCGCCTTTGCAAGTTGCACCTGTTGGTGTCCGAGGCGCCTTGCGGTGAAGGATACTGACCAGCGTTCTGCTTCTCCTTCCAGCTCTCCCACCCTGCTCCTGAAAAGCCGCTACTGCCTCCGGAAACGCCACACTGCACGGGGAAGGTCCTCTCCCACCGCCCGGCGGACCGGCACAAAGGGCCTCGTGCAAATCGGCAAGCACCGGTTGCGCCGGCTGCCGGCCTCTCGCGCTCCTGGTTCGCCCAAAGAAGGTAAGCGATGCTTTGAAGTGGGAGATGCTGGCTGGCTGGGTGGGTGACGGTAACAAGTTTGACTTGCTGCCCTTGGCTCTGGGTGGATGGCCAAGCCACGACTGTCACGCGCCAAGAGGCCAGCTATTGTGGTTCTCTCAGGTGAGTTATTCTCGTTCCTATCTGAACATTGATTTTTTTTAAAAGAGGGTCTCTAGCCAAACAATCAGGACCAGCGAGGGTCTTTTCTCCCATCTTCTGGAGGGCTGTAGCTAATGTTCCTGGAAAGGCCGGGGGTCCTGGATGTTGCAGTACCCCATTTGGTGTATTTTAAGGGTGGGGATAAAGGGTGGGTTGTGTTGTGGCCTGACAGTGGCCGGCGGAGCTGGCGGCAGATTCGTACAGTGAGGAGGTTGGGGAAGAACATGGGCCAGTCCCGGAGTCTGGGGAAGGCTTTGACGAGGGCTCTGTGTCGGAGGCAGAGATGGGGTCAGGGCCGTCCGACAGTTAGCTGTCTTCGGAGTCGGAGATCAGTGGGGAAGAAGAACAGCTGGAGCCTGTTCCCACTGTGCGCATGTGCAGAGCTGCCAAGAGAAGGGGCAAAGCTAAGGAACAAGGGCTGACTCGGGAGCAAAGCCACAGGTGGACGGTGAATGGGCCCTCCCAGAGGGAATAAGGAGAAGCAAAAGGGGAGTGGGGTTTGCAGGAGGCAATTAGTTCCAATTCGTTAGGGTGAAGATCTGTTCCTGACTTCTTGCCAAGTCATTGCTGCTACAGTGTGGCGTTTGGAAAATACTGGCCTGGCAACTCTCCCAGCCTGATAAAGGTCTGTGGTTGTGAAATCTCTTGAAAGACTGTTTTGCTGGGATTTTGCTGGAGAGGAAATTCATTGTAAATTAAATAAAAGGGGTTTATCAGGACGAAGACTCGGCTTCATCCTGTTGGGGAAGCCGAGGTCAGAACAGGTTGCCTCCTGCTTCCGAAAAACCTCGTGATCCATTTTCAGGGCAGATTTGATTTAAATCACAATTTGAATCACGGTTTAAATCACTAGTCAAAAAAGGCTTGATTCAAACCAACTCGATTTAAATCCTAATTTTTAAAGAGCAGCTGTCACCTCTGCTGTGAAATTGTGTGAATGCACCCATGCAGGGTATGTTATCTCAGCTTTGTAGAGCTTGGATTTGTGGAATGAGTTGACCCAAAAATGTAAATATTGCAGAATAGACAGCCTCGTGCTACACCACTAAGCTCCGTTTCACACTGAATAAATCTAAATTATTAATGTATCTTAAACAGAAAACTCTCTAGGTAGATTTTTTATTCCAAAAGCATTTTGTTAAAATAAATTTGATTAAAAATGTTTTAAAGAAAATCTTAAATTTTAAGAAATCTGTTTTTTTTTTTAATTTTTAAAAATCGATTTTTATCCATTCTGTCCCTATTCGGGATTGAGCTGTTGAAAGTTATCTGAATTTTCAGAGATTTTGGACATGCACATTTGGAGTCTCGGCCGATCACTAATCGGCGTTGTGGGGGCTTTCTGCGGCTTGTGGCTTATGGTTTGCTGACACCCACCTAGGTTCTGAGCTTGGGACGTGACTCTTTGGCTCTCGGTTGCCTCGGCTTTCTTTGCCTGACTGGCCTGTACCTTAGAGAGGAAGAGGATGGGAGGAAGAAGATCCCTCTGTCCCTTGAGTTAGTTGGAGGAGCAGGTGTAAAATAAAAATTAAAAAAAAAAACCCTCATCGCTGAGCGTTTAGGCAGCTCGGCATCTTTCTGGTAGTTTTGCAGCTTTTGAAAATGTTGACAATTTCAGAAAGCTGTTGGAAGATCTGGCGCGCGAGGCTTCAAAGACAGATGTGCTTTGCAGTTGTTTTGCCTGCTCTTTATTTAGTTTACTCCCCGCCGGCTGACTCTTGACTTCCTCATAAACAGAATTGCGAGGCGGGGTGGGGTGGGGGAGAGAGAAACCAAGTCTTTCACTCAGCTTTTTTTAAAAAAATCTTTAAATGGGAGGGGGAAGAAAGATGTCAGCTTTGGAAGCCATATTGAGACCAGATGCTCCCACACTGCCACATTTTGAGCCTAGGAAAATGGGAGGGTGGAATTTCTGGGAGTGTATGTAGTTAGACAAAATAGCATTTTTTTTTCTAAGTCAAGGTCATGTTGTGTCTGCACCTGGGTGAGGGGAGGCCTCAAGTTGGGACGATGGTGATTGGGGCAGGTGATGCGATGATGGGTACAGGGGATGGATTTGTAATTTTTTTACTTGCTGCAAGGAAATTCGGAATTTCAAGATTCGGGGTTCCTCAGTTGTGCCAGTTTAACTATCCAAAATAAAAGGAACTTTTGAGAAGCTGCCTGTCTCGGAGTTATTGGTTGGAGTGGAAGTTTTCTGGAATGGTAACGTTAGGCTGATTGAAGAATATTCAGCCCACCCAACGCACCTGATAATAAGGTCCTGCAGGTAATTTGAGTAGGGCCTGTTTAGTTGCAACAGCTAGCAAGCTGCTAGGTGCAGCCCATTCCTGGCCCTGCCTCCTTCTCTTCCTCTTTCTCCTCTTTTTCTCCTTCCTTTACTTCCTCTTCCTCCTTCCCTTTCCCTCTTCCTCCTCTTCCTTTTTATCTTCCTCTCCTCCTCCTCCTCCTCCTCCTCCTCCTCTCCTCCTTCCTCTTCTTTTTCTTTCTTTTTTCTTTTATCCTCCTGCTCCTCCCCTCTCCTCCCTTCTTTCTCCTCCTGCTTTCCCTTTCTCCTCCTTTCTTCCTTTTCTTCCTTCCTCTTTCCGTTTATCTTC